TAGCACTCGACTTTTCATTTTTGTGTCGCCGTTCTTGAGGCTCTAGATTTAAAATACTGCAAGGTCTCATGTGAAAAACTGCAACCATCAGAGCTAAATATCTATCCCTTTACTCAAAGCAGGTTAATGTTTACGTATTTGTAGTGTCCCCTTTTTCTTTCTGACACTTATACCCGTTTTATTCATCTTTAAATGAGCATCTAAAATCTTAGATATTTTCAATGTATGCTAATGTTGAAAATGTTTTATCATTAAATATATTTAGCATCAAACAGACTGTCACCTCAAGTGTTTACTTCTATATTCCCTTTTATATTTATGTGTGTGTGTGTGTTTGGCTTAATATGACAAAGAAAATGTGGTGATTTTTTTATTTAGTTTTTCCAACATTCATAAATTTTTATCATCCGTTTCCAATTTTGATATTACGCTCTTTTAATCATTTTTTTGTTTTTTTAAAAATTAATTTCTCCCAGTTCTTATGCAGATGACTTTAAAAATCACACGGATAAGTTCGACAAATGGCATACTAAGAACATCCCACCACATGTTTATTTACTACTAATGTTTCGCCAATCTGGCTCATCAAGCAATCAAGACTAAGTAAATTTTTAGTTTTTATAATCCATAATTATAATTATAATCATGGATTACGATTATAATCCAAAAAACTGAAAATGGATTATAAAGCAATATATTTGTGCAATATCATTCTCATCATCATTATCAGTCCCATGACCGAGTCTGGTCATAGGGTCGCTGCGCCGATGAGCGCCTGACTTGTTCACTCCACATATCTGGCTTGAAAACCGGAGAGATATTTATATTTGTAGCGTATCTTCAACATGTAGACATGATTTAAAATACATATACAATAATTTTTTTTGTTAAATAAATATTTAAACAGCATGACAGAGATCATCATCTTCTTCTTCCACCTCCTCCTCCTCCTCCTCCTCCTCATCATCATCATCATCATCATCATCAGTCCCATGATGTAGTCGTACGGTCACTGAACACCTGACTAGTTCCCTCCGCATACAAGCGGGTGAGGTATTCATTCATACGTAATATGTCGTCGCCAGGTCTACCTGGCGAAGCCTATCCCTCTCCAGATCAATCCACAGCCAATGACCTCCAACATATAGGCATGCCTTGTTCATGAACACGTTTTCCGTTGATTCCATCAGGGAACTGCTTGTCTTGGAAGCCCTCTGCCCGAAAGATGACCGTGTCATCACCGCACTGGCAGCATCCATACCTGTGGAGCCCACTCTATTCCATTGTGCTACATGACCGTTGACCATACAAAAAGGTTCACTGGCCTTTGAAAGATCTTGTTTTCAATCCTGCTAGGTGTCTATCCACCATCATCACCCCCAGAAAAACCTAGTGGAAGGAAACAGTTTAGTCGCCTCTGTAGCAGATATAAAATAATAAAATGGTAGAAATTAAAGTTTTAAAATAGGTAGACGTGATAATTGCTAAATACTATAAACCGAATTATACTTTTGCAACATGTACGAATTCGTGGAACGTGATTAAGCGAAAGGTTTCTCTTTTATTTCAAATACATTAATATATTAAATCTTACCACATCACATTATTCTTACTTCGTCAAATAAAAGAAATTATATTCACCGACTACTTAATCGAAAAGCCTATTCAATTATTTCATCATTTTTTACATATTATTTATATATTACTAGCAATCATACCCAACTAGTCGATCAGAAAAAGCGTCCAATTAGAATGGAGCAAAAAGAGCATCATGTTTAGATATAACAAATTGTTACAAAAATGTTACAAGACTGAAACTAAACGTGGGTGAAACTAAACGTGGGTGCTATGATGTCTAAAGTGGAAGCGGTAAATGCTTAGAGAAGTACTATAAGTCTACCAGAACAGTAAAATGATTTAATCTTTTGAACCTTGATTAGAACAAGTCACAACATTTTATGTCAGCATTTGTTTATCATTTTTCGTATATATTCATATTTTTACACTTGTTTTAAATATTTAGCTGCAATTGCAATATGTGTACGGAATAAAAACCTGCATGTCAAAGGCAGGCTGCTTATCTCATCTGACCTGGTGACAGCCGCTTGACTCTTCTCGCTACTGCTTACTTCCGGTAATTAGCGCTGTTATTATAGAACACAACGTAAACACGTGATATTAACCTGATACTGCATTAACTCTGTCATATTTAGCTGTGCAGATATAACACAGAAGGCGCCAGTCCACGCAAGTATCTGAAAACAGGTGCTGGGGAAAAAGGATTTATCTATACAATAATTTTCATATATTTGTCATTCTTGTAATCACAGTTTTCTAATATGTACACACATATATGCAGGGTGTATCAAAAATATATTTTGTAAACTTTGGAGGCGGGTTCCTTACGTCAAAACAAGAACAAAAGTCCATATAAACATTTCCTTTGAGTTATATCTGGGTGTGGTCGTAATGTTGCTGCACAGATGAGCACATGCCTGAGTTGAAAGTCAGAGAGTTATTCATTCATGCATAGCGTGTCTTGGGCAGGTAGATCTGGCGGAAAGCTATCTCTCTCCAGATCAGACCACAGCCGATGTCATCAAACCAGAGGGCTCGTTTCGGTCACGAACACTAGGCCGTTGATTCTATCGAGGGAATCCTGCGCGCTGGCCATTGCCTTCAGTCTATGCCATCAACACCGGACTGACTGCATCCATAGGTATGAGGCCCTGTGTACCCCATGGTGCTAGATTCTCATTGAACCTACAAGGTTCATCCGCCTAACCGATTTGGCCACAGAGGAGCGTTCGGTTAAAGGCACGTCAAGCTAAATGACGGTTCCGTATAGGATACAGGTTCGAATCCTGTCGGAGGACGAATATTTTCTGTGAAAATTTCTCGGACATTCAGGCCGGTAAATGTTGTTTAATACTGTTTATTGTAAACAGAACATTTACTTAAATATTTGTATCTATAAAAAGAATGTATAAGCATAAAAATATCTTAAAATAATTGTCGGATTTTGTCCATTTCATTATATATATATATATATATATATATATATATATATATATATATATATATATATATAAAGACATTTTATGTTTAACGTTGTTATTTATAGATACAAGTATTTAAGCAAATGCTCTGAATGTTATTTAATACTGTTTATCATAAACAGAGCATTTGCTTAAATACTTGTATCTATAAATAACAACGTTAAACATAAAAATGTCTTTAATAAATAAATTGTCGGACCTTGTCCATTTCTTTTATATATATATATATATATATATATATATATATATATATATATATATATATATATTTACGTATGTATACAGGGTGTAATAAAAATACTTTTACAAACTTTGCGGCGGCTTCCTCACGTCAAAGCAAAGACAAATGGGAACGTGAAGGCCATGCAACCGGTCATCTTCTACTCATCCATTTTTATGCAGATGTCTGCCAGTGCATCGCAAACAATGTGGTTAAAATGTGCTGGAGTCCTATCATGGATGAACCACGTGCTTCTTCGTATTAGCAGGGGTACATCCTCTAACAGGTTTAGAAGCGTGTTCAACATAAAGCTCCCGTAGACAGCTGCTGTAAAGACACTACAATTCCAGCCCAAACATTAATCGTAAACTGATACTGGTGTCTACCCAGTATTATACAATGTGGATTTCGATCCGCCCACATATGTTGATTTGCGGACATATGTTTATATGAACTTTTGTCCTTGCTTTGGTGAGGAACCCACCACCAAAGTTTGTAAAAAAATAATATATATATATATATATATATATATATATATATATATATATATGATGATGATGAAGAAAGCGAAGACTTTAGAAACCCATAGAAATATTTTATTTCGCAAGACCGATTCTTCGGTCTCGTCTCATCAGACCAAACGGTTTCACCAATAAAAACAGTTTGGTCTGGTGAGACGGCACCGAGGAACCGGTCTTGCGAAATAAAATGTTACTATGGGTTTCTAAAGTCTCTGCTTTCATCATCATTATTATTTGCTCTGTTCTTACATTGAGCTCTCTTTGGATTTATATCCTCTTTGAAATTATCCATACAAATTATCAAGCAATATAAATAAACATTTATTAATTTTATTTGTTGCTAACCACTGTCCCATTTCTTGACATTTAAATGTATTGCAGCTACAAAAAAAAAGCGTTATTTTCCTAAAAGACACTGGTCGATCGTTTTAATTTGAAACACAGTATCTGTTATATATATATATATATATATATATATATATATATCGTCATCATCATTTATTCAGCTAGCGCAATTTTGCACCGCTATAGTCACCAATCGCTTCCTTCTCACAGTTGTGGTTCATGGACATATTTAAGGCAGAATAGTTCAATGGAATGTCTGTTCCTTTTGCACTATATACATATAGATATATATATAGATATAGATATATATATAGATATAGATATATATATAGAGAGAGAGATATATACACTGCGTGCCAAATTATTATCGAGATACCTTTTTTTCTAATATTTCAAAAACCGTCCAATTAATTCACACAAAATTTTCACTCAGTGTTGGCAACCACTGAAATTTTCGTATTGATCTGCGCAATATAAACAAACTGGCGCCATATTTGTTATCAGCACGGTGATTTGAGCGTGCCAAATTATTAGAAAAGTGTAAGAATTTAGTGAAAAGATGAGCCGTAAAAGCAGTTTAAGTGATGCTGAAAAGAAAACCATCACCTCAGAACTCTCAATTGATTGGACGGTTTTTGAAATATTAGAAAAAAAGTTATCTCGATAATAATTTGGCACGCAGTGTATAGTGGGGAGGAAACAAATATTCGTAATTTTTTTATTTATTGTATTTCCAACTAATAAATAAACATACACAGATGAATAATAACTAAAGGTAAGCGTTTTTGTTTCTATTTTCCTCGTTGTTTATTACAAAAACTGCTTGACTTAAAAGCGATATCCACTAGAAATAACTTACGGCCATGGCACGTTGAAACACCGGTTCTCGTCCGATCACCGAAGTTAAGCAACGTCGAGCCTGCTCACTATCTAGATGGGTGACCGCTTGGAAATACGATGTACTATAAGTTTGGATGTGTGAGCGGGGTAATGAATAACGGCTCGGAATTGGAAGTCGGACAGCCGAGTTCCAATTCCAGTTGGGTTCATTATATTCAGTTACACGTAAACAGCCTTGAGAAAGGTATGAATCCACCTCTTCTCTTCCCAGCTATGGGTTAAATAATACGATTTCTGTCAGTAAATCGTTATTATCACGCCAAAATTCTTACAATCTAAAAATATTTTATGATTTTAAATAACCTGCAAAAGTTTAATAAACCGTAAAAAACAAATAAAAATCTCCCTATTTTGTTATTCATTTACACAAGCTCGTTAGGTAGGTTACTCGCTGTTCCCCTGTCCCCGTTGCCTTTGATACGTCCTGTGAGTATTAAATTTTTTAAGCCTTCTGTCTCTTTCTTATTCTTATTCGAAAAATAAGCATTTTTTTGTTTCCATTTTCCTCGTTGCTTATTGCAAAGACTTTTCTAATGCTATGCCTGATACATTATATATGTATCACGCATAGCATTAGGTTGCTATTTCTTTCTGCGGTAGACCAGTTGCCATCCAAGGCTATAGAACCTGGTCTGTCCAGCTATTTATCCATAGCTTGGGGGTGGGGAAGAAGAAGAGGATTCATACCTATCCCAAGGCTATTAGCGCGTAAGTGAATGTAACGGATTCGACTGGAATTTGAACACGGATCTCCGATTCTTCAATCCGAGCCGCTAGCCATTACTCCATCTTAAAGACTACTTGACTTAAAAGCGTTATCGACCAGAAATAATTTAATCGACTGTTTTTTATATGTTTTTCGTCTTTTTTGCGAATTACAGTTTTCCTTATTATTATTATTATTATTATTATTATTATTATTAATGTATACAGTTAAATATGTGTATCTACATGTTTCTAAAAAATACATGCGTTTCTTGCTTAAATGTGATAATCAATATGGCCGAAAGAAAAATCAGAAATTCTAACATGACCCATATAAGGATGAAACCGGCAGACATTTTTATAAATATTCCCTTCATTCATCTTGCCATCCAAAGGCTTTAGCTATACGTATTTTGCAAGTCAATCGGCATCATAATAACCAGATGTTGTAGAAACAGACCTATTAACTATTGCAGTTAGATAAATGGTTTGTGCATGCACTGCTAAATACCTACGAGTCTATAAGCCTGATGAAACCATTCTGATATAAGTCGTGGTAGCATAAAGATCGATGTTTACAATATTTCATATCATATATATACATATATATAAATATATGTGTGTGTGTGTTCACGAGTTTGTCGTTGCTTGGAAATCTTTCATGCAAACAAAACTATCATTGTTGGTATGTCCGTATATTTTTTAATTTATTGTAATGTACTTGTCATCTCTGATGATGGCTTATGTAAGTCGAAAGCTTAGATTGGATTAAAAAAAACATATGGTGATTTTCCTTCGTCTTTCGATGATAATGTTATTAAGCTTATCAGACGATATGAAAGGAATTTGCTTAAAATAAATAGACAAAACTTGTCTATATTATTTAATGAAACATGCATTAATGTGTGTGTGCGTGTGTGTGTGTGTGTGTGTGTGTGTGTGTGTGTGTGTGTGTGTGTGTGTGTGTGTGTGTGTGTGTGTGATGGAAAGCAACTTTATTCTTTATATATATCCCACACGGGTAAAAATATCATGTGAGAAATATGGCATAGCCAAACACCTCTCCATTTCAATTTAACTTTTGAAAATGATAGAAACAGGTAAAATTACTCTAAACAAATTCTCTCAGTCTCCAGTTGCATTTTCAGCTTATTTTTTCCTTGCCTGTTCGTTGCTCCTTGGTCCTGTTTTTAATTTTCATTAATGACCTTCCCGATGGCATCAGCTCTCATCTTGACATGTACGCTGATGATACAACCATTTACTCCTGTCTCAATAGTAAGGTTGATCAATTCGATAAGTTCAGAATGGAAGCCGATGTCCAAAACGACTTCCGTTGTTAACTGGGTCAAAAGATGCCTTGTTAATTTTAACGCCTCCCAAACTAAACTTCTCTCTATTAACCATCTGAGAGATCCCTCTCCGTCTTCCAACGGCATGGCCGATGCTAACCTCCAAGATATATATATATATAAAGTAAATAACATAAAATCTACGCATATTATTCCTGAAAAATTACATCTATGAACCACTCCAGATGAAATCTTTGAATTTCTTATTTTTTTCATTTCTACTACCAGTATGATTTGCATTTTTTTCCTTTCCGTTTTACAAAACTAAAAACTGTAATGAGGTTTTGTAAAGCCCAGTTTTTACCTGATTAAATCACTCCAACAAATTGCGGGATGATAAACTGTGTTTATAATTTTAGATATTTTGCTAGTGTATGTGTGTATCAATCCTCCTATATAGCAGTCAATGCCGCTCGATCTCATTTCAGATGAAGACAAAACTTGAAACCTCAAAGACGTTGTAGTACAGAACAGCGCTAAGAAGACTATGAACGGAACACGTGAACAACGAGAAAGTTTTAAGGAAAATGGAAGAGAAACGATAATTCTGATTAAAATTAGAAAGAGACAATTGAAACTTCTGGTACACATAATGAGGAAAATGGGTTTGGAGAATTTGACACTCACAAGATACACTGAGATACATCGAGTTACCTACCTAACGAGCTTGTGTAAATGGCTGACAAAACAGGGACTGGGAGGGATCGTAATGTTGTAAAAAATGAGACCTGAAGAAATTACAAATCTGGGAGTATCGCAGATTTTGGAAGATGATGAAACTACGCTGAGTAGTTTTGTAGAGTAAAATTAAAATATAAATTCACGCGGCTAGAAATGTTTTTTTCTTTCACATGTGTGTTGTCTAGATAATATGGAAAATGGTAGCCATAGTTTGAAACAATACGTATATTGACTAATGTTTGACAAATTCTAGAGGTGAAAATCGTCAAAGTTGATGACGTCACCAACGCGAAAAATGTATAGGTAGAGGAAATTGGGGAATCCCCAAAAGTGCATTGGTGCAGAACTTGGGTGGTCTCAAATGCGAAGAAGATAGTCTCCAACGATCACGTGGTCGGAAATGAGCAGTCGAGATTTGACAGAAACCTCATATTTATTCAGGTGTTCAGCAGTCGCGAGGTAGTTGGGGAGAGATTTTGTAACCAGTTGGGGTTACAGTTGGGAAGAGTTTTCAGATCAGTCGCTTTCAGACGTCACCAATCGTCGGAAGAGTTGCTATGAAAAGCCGCTAGGAAGTGTCGTCAAGAACAGTCGTTAGAAGAATGCCTTAGAAGTGAGACTTTAAATAATCGTCGCGGACCCCAGCAATAATGACCTTGCCAAACAGAAATACAGAATTATCCATATTGTTTAGATAATGTTTACAGGGCCGGCGCTAGGGTCTCGAGATAACCCCCACCAACCCGAAACTTTGATACGTGGCTTTGCTCTCTACTACGTCGATTTTAGTTTCCCAACCAGGGGGCAACGAACCCTAGAAGGAAAATGGGGGAGCTGGCATCTCATCTACAGCCACTTTCTCACAGACGTGATGTGGCTTCCATCTGTCTTTTCTACAAATATTTTCATGGCAACTGCTCTGACGAGCTACTTTCACTGATGCCCCCAACTGCATGAATTTAAGTGTGCTACTAGGCTGGCATCTCGGTCACACCCTTTCACTGTCAAAACAGTTAAATGTAACCGCCTCTTCTACTCCAACAGCTTCTCTCACACTTCCGGATAGTGGAACTCCCTTCCTCCGACTTGCTTCCGTGATAGCTATAATCTTCAAATGTAATGTCAATCGACATCTTCTGATGCTTTGATCCTGATTCCCGTCCTTCTCTATATCCTTTCCTCAAATACCCCTCTTTACTCTTGCTCTCACTCTCTGTAACCCTTTGGTGGCTAGTGGTACTCCAGTCTTGATTGGGGTGAAATGCTTAAAAAAAATTATCAAAAATCAGGAAATTATCAAATTTAAATGAAAATTTCCGTACATATTCACTAATTATTTACTTTTATAATGAATAGGATTTTTTTTCAAAAAATATGAGAAAATGTTATTGTTTTTGTAATAACTACCAATGTTTTCATGACTGAATTTTGCCCGAAAAAATGTTTAAATCGCAGATTATTACATTTTCCATAAAGATTAATCGCTGGTGAATCTCCATTAAAAAAGAAAATTTTACAAAGATTCCAACACAATACAAACGGGATTGTCTTAAAAATTTGTTTTAAAAACATTATTTCAGTTTCTGGAAATTTTTTTTCATGTGTTAAAATCTTAAAACAATTTTATTTTTTAAGAGATCATTTTCTCGGTTTTATCTTTCTAGAAATGTAAAAAAATAGGGACTAGAAATTTTATTTTAATTACAAGCCGTGGACTTCTGGTTAGCATTACTATTAGTAAAAAAAAATCAATGATCCTCCTTAGTGGATGATCTCGGAGTAAAAAATGATTTTACCAAGATATATTATCCTCTTAATTGATTTAAAAGAACTGTTCAGAAAGAAGATTACAATTTTAAAAAAAGCACTGGCCCTATCAATTATTATAGTTGATGATTGACAATATAATTTAGGTAGGAAAAAAGTCAAAAGTACAAAAAGCAAAAAACCGCTGCCCGAAATTAGCCCATTTGGGGTTCCAACCTCGTCAGTGGTTCCTGCGTAGTACACACCCCACGGCAATACAGATACATATGTATATTATTAGTTAATGATTGATAATATAACGTAAGTTTAAAAATAATTTTTTTTTTAAAAATAGCGGATGGCCATAAAACAATGCTGAAAAAATGGCAGAGGCCACAATGAGACACAAAAAAAACGCGAGGGTTTCGGACGTAAGATGTGCCGGCCCTGACATTCGCAGTATCAACATTAGTGAATATTGCTGACATAAAAATAAAACTAACTTGTTACTGTTTATAATAAGAGCGAGCGTTGACTTATTCTTTGATAGAAGGTATTTGTAATACTGCTGTAATTAGAC